CACAATATTATTAGTCTAATATATAAAGTTCAATTCTGTATGTTTGTATGTCGTGGTTTCCAAAGGAATATAAGAAAAAACGATGCTTCCATTGATTCAATTGTTAGATTTTTAAAGTGCTCATGGTCTAAATTTATGAGTTAAAAAATTAATATAGAAAGTCTTTAAAAACAGTTTTCATTTTGCATGCTTAAAATAATAATTTTCAATTATGAACATTATCGAAAATTTAAAAAAAAGTGTATCAACGTTTATAAAATGTCTAATTGTGTCTGAAATGTATTTGCATTTAGTTCTTTAGCGCTCATTACGTCCCTTGATTGAAAATACAGTTACTTCCCTATAAAAACATCGGGGGGGGGGGAGAATTTACTCTTTATTACTTTCTTTTGGCGTTAGGAAAAAAAATAATTACATAATTAGCGGGGATTGATTAAGTGCAATGTCGTTGGTATTTTTAATACTGCCTTTTATTTATTCCACGTACTGTTTTCTTAATATTATTTTTAATCAAAAACAGGCGAAGTAACAAAAGGCATCTTTATTCGGGAACGGGAATTCCCGCAGGTTATTATTTTTGTCTTTATTTGCGCATTCGTTTTGTCTGTCCTTTTTTGCGCACGAAGGGGAATTGGTTTTTGTCGGTCGCAACAGAAAGCTCTTTTATAGACACCTGCACCAAACTTCAGGAAGATATACCAGTTGATATAATACTAGCCGTTCCAGATTGTGTTGTGTTGTGTTTGTTTTGTGTTGTGTTTGTGTTGTGTTGTGGTTGGTTTTGCGCTTGGATTTGGTTTGTTTCCGTTTGCTTTTTTGTTTGTTTTTTCTTTGTGTTTGTATTGTGTTTGTGGTTGTGGATGGGTTTGTTGTTAGGTTTTTGTTTTCGTTTGTATTTGTAATTGTGTTTGCGTTATGTTTGCGATTTTTTTTTTGGTTTATAGTTGTTAGGGTGTGCAATGCCGGGTATATGATGATTACTAAACACACAGCTAATGGTCCTTAACAGAAAGGTTTTTCACAGAGGCCAGAGCAGGGCCTGGCCGGGACGGCTAGAACTTTAAAAATTTACATTCGATTTTTGAGAAATCGGAAATAGCGTAAATTACTACTTCCGTTCAATGGAAATTATTCAAAATATGATAGCAGGTAGACAATTAGATCTTTTACTTACATGGGAAATTTCATTTATCTATGTGAAATAGTACTCAAGTTAGAGGCTTTTGAAAAATTCAAAGTAGAAAAAGTACCACTTCCGGTTATCGGAAATCGCTTTAAAGTTGAATCGGATCTACGATTTTGATATAATACTTATATATGAAAATTCATCAACCTAGCTGTAACGGTACTCAAGTTATCGTGTTTACACACACACAGAGACAGACACACATACACACAGACATACGGACAAGATTGCAAAACTATGTTTTTCCGACTCATGGAGCCCTAAAACGTCGAGAGTAAAAAATCTCGATTTTTTTTTTTTTTATTTTTTTTGCACGATTACAAGACTTTCTCTATATTTCGTATATACGAGAAAGTAAAAATAGAATTAATAAACGTAGCAATACCGCTTGCCCTTGTACGTGCACAAACACAAGTATTTGCCTTAGCATAAGCAATTAGCATAAGCACTGAGGAGACAAAGGACTAGGACTTTGACTAGGACTAGGACTAGGACTTACTAGCTCTGACACAATTGAAACAAATATAGAATTGTATGGAATAATATTACGCTGTGGATTTCTAAAAACAAACTAAACAGATATTTTTTTTTCTGAACAACAATGCACAATGCAATGATATACCTTATCCGCTGTGACCTAATTAGAAATCAATGGCTTTATTACATTTTTATTACTTTGTTTTGATCCATCAAAACCAAACCCGTCGACCGTATTTATCAGCCCCTTTTGGCTTTCTTGCACTAAAAGAAGAATAGTCGACTACAGTTTACCAATAGATACGTTTTATTATAAACTGTGTATGCAACTTGTATGTATATATGTATGTATATATATATATATAAATATGTGTGTGTTTGTGTGTGTGTTTGTGAGTGTGAATGTGTTTGTGAGTGTGAATGTGTGTGTGTTATTGTGGGGGTTTTTTTGTTTGTTTGTGTGTTTGCGCGTGTCTGTGTATGTGTGTGTGTTTGTGTGTGAAACTTAATTCGTCTCTTAGCATACCTTATCTTCTTCTTCTTCTTCGTTCTTAATTATTAGTGTTGAAGGGGATCGAGATTTATATGCCAGTGGGTTTGAACTCGAGACTTTGTTCGAATTTATAAACCATGAGCTTTTTGCCGACTCGACCACGCCTCCAACACAATTAAGCGTTACGTGTCAATTGGTTATGCGCCATTGAGGCCATTGACTCCGATTTCAGCCTGCTTTTCTTTTTGGATTTGCTTCCATAGCCTTTGTCCAACCAAGAACAAACTACAAGGCAGCAGTTGTTTAAATTTGGAGTTGTCTCTCCCAGAAGAGTGGCTATCCCCAGCTAACGAGCCTCATCTGCCCGAGGGTTCGAACTCGAGACTTTTCGGTTTAGCAACCATGAGCTTTACCGACTCGACCACGCCGACCCCTGCATACCTTATGAGTCGCTCCAGTATGTTCAACACCAAATGTGTTTCTGGGTGCTTACATTATCTTAGTAACTTGAAAGATTTTGTGTTTGGTTAGCATCGAAAAGAAAGTTTAAGCTTGTAAATTTATAGAAACATTGCTGAAAGATTTTTTTTGAAGAACGAATCTCCCCCATACATAAACAAACACATACTACAACAAAGACACATGTGCTTGGGCGCATACTCATGCATACAAATGCAACATAGTTAGCGAGATAAAAGACACATACACAAACCAACACATAAGGACAGAAATGTTTTGAACTTACCAAATCGATGAAAATGTAAACGTTCCGGTTTATGGTTCAAATTTTAATTTCAAAGAAAGAAATCTTTTAAAGAACGATAAACCAGAGCTGAACAGCCCAACACAAATCGAACTAGCTACATAGTCAGTGTTGAGGGGCGACAGCCGGTGATATCTCATGCGATTGTAGGAAAAAAAAAGTCACAGGAAAAAAACACAGAAAAAAGTCACAGGAGAAAAAGTCACAGGCAAAAAGTCACAGGCAAAAAAGACACAAATATACACTTGCATGGGATTTTATAATACTTTTGTGTATTAAATGTTCAGAAGGTGCAAATCAACTTAATTTAATTAAATATAATGAAATATATGTAGGTTATATGCGTATTGAGATATTTATAACGCAGGTAAATATTTTGTGGGAAGTATTTACGTTTTAATTCCTGCATACATATAATATTTAAGATAATTTTTTTAAAAATTTCCAACCTTCTCTTTTTTAATAGTTTTTGTTAAATACTAACTTTAAATTAGCGCGAAATGGCATAAAGACTTAGTTAATGTGATTTGCTGCCCACAATCAGATCGCAACAATAGGTCAGCCACCTGTACTGCCCGCATTTATCAAGCTTATTATATAACAAATGAAAGGATCAAAACAGAAACCTGACACGGTACAAAGGCTGTCATTGACGCAAAACGTCAACAACTCACAATATGGACGTACAAGGCCGACTAAGGAGATGCCAACCAATTAATGGCAAAAAAAAATACATGCAAAACACAATGATGTGCCTAAATTTCGATTAGAATTATCATTTCTAGAGCATATTTAACTAAATTCTTTACAAAGTTGTGGTTTATGTGTAAATTGGTTTACACTATTTTTACTTACCATAAGCTTTTATCGTTTATAAATATGCCACAAAAAAAACAACCCACATTAATAAACTCCCACAATTTTACAATTCTCAACAATAAAAATCAAAATACTTATTAAAAGATTTGTATGACTTTTTTCTGTAACTTTATTTCTGAGACTTTTTTCCAAAAAAAAGTTTCCTTTTTTTACTTTTTTTTCTGTGACTTTTTCCTAGCGAAAACTGACTTTTTTTCCTGAAAATTTTTGCTTTTAACATGGATACATTTCTCTTCTTCCTCTTAATTATACTAATGGAGGGTATTTCTCAAAATAATTAGGTATTACGTCTCAACATGTTATGCACCATATAAGACCCGTTGACTCCAACTTGAGTCTGTTTTTCATTCTCGATTTGCTTCCAAAGTCTTTGTCCGCCCCCCCCCCCCCTTTTTCCCAGAACAAATTGCAAGGTAGCAATTATATTCTCTACGACATTGGATGATGAGCCTTATCAGCCTGGGAATCAGAACTCGGGACATTTGGGTTAGCAATCGTGCTAACCCCCAACCTACAACGTCATCTTTTTAACGACATAACATCTGTGTGTGTTGTGTGTGTTTTTCTGTAGTGAATTTTTAACCCCTCATACATGAAGGGCAGCCCACGGAGGATAATTTATAACATCAAGATTAATCTAGTGAAAAATATTTTCTCTATGCTTTGTTTAGATCAGGGGTCTCCAAACTACGGCCCGCGGGCCCGCGGCCCGCGAAGTTCCTTCTTCCGGCCCGCTGAGATCCTTCTGTCCAAGGAAAAATCATTTGTTGGTGATGGCTGAGGAACTTTGCCCAGAAAAATCAAAGACATGCCTGGAAAAAACTGGCCCCCGAAGTGAAATTTGATAGTTAATGCGGCCCTCGGACTGAAAAGTTTGGAGACCCCTGGTTTAGATGAAAGGATCAGGACTGCACTAATCTTGTAGCGTGGTAATCAGCGTGGAGGGGTAAAGGGGTGGGTCACTTGTCACGTGTATGTTTGTGTTTCTTTTTGCTGGTAGGTGGAGGGGAAGGAAAATTGCACGTGGATCCTTTCGATTTGCTGAAAACCAAATATACCTGTCAATCATTTCAAACTATAGTAGAAGTAACGTAATTGAAAACGATTCTGATGTAACGCGCGATTTGATTGGCTAAACCAGACCTAACCACAACGTCGTAAGTTATATAACAAGCCCAATTAGCTCATTTTGACGCAGAAGACGACGATCGCAAAAGGTAGACTATTCTAAAAGATTATAGACTCAACGATGTTTACATCACTTGTCATCACTGTACTGGTGTTGCTAGAACTGACTGTTGGTCAGGATTTGACAGGTAAGTGTTTGGTCTCAACTTCTTTTCAATTTCAACTTTTTTTAACAGTAGTTTAAAATAAATGGTGTTAGTAATCTTGTAAGGAAAGAAAAAAGTTAGAAATCTGGGTCCTAAATAGCAGTGCGGTGGCGTAGCCAAGTTCTAGGTGCTTACATATATATATATATATATATATATATATATATATATATATATATATATATATATATATATATATATATATATATATATATATATATATATTGTACACAGATAAACTCAGCAGCTCTCGAATTTAAGCTTTTATTAAACTTTGTTAATGTGCCTACCTTTAGTTTTCCCTTATATAAACCACAATAGGGAGGGGGTGTCCAGGGGGTTTTTGTCGTGGGGGAGGGGGTTGTCTAGGGGTTTATGTCGCGGAGGGTTTAAATCCACTGATTTTATGTCCATGGGGGGGGGTGTCCAGGTGGTTTATGTCCAGGGTTTTTTTTTACCAGACACCCAGATTTACAATATTAATACTTCGTTATTACTTTTAGTCAACTGTCACTTTAGCCTACTGGTCCAATTAAACATAGATAAATACAAAACGTATAATGGTAATTTTATTTTTAAAAAACCTGAAAATGCAAATGTGTAATTAAATGATGATTCGAGGGATTCAATGGGTTTGGGCATTTACGTAGAGCTAAAATAAATTTGGGATTACAGAAAATGAAAATGATACAAATTTTAAGTAACCTGAAAAGTTATGTTAATTACAATGAGACACTTCAAATCAACCATTCTTCCCTTTCAAAAATCTATATCTATAGCAGTTCTCCAAGTTTTTTTTTCATTTATTTATTTATTTTAAATATTTAAAATAGTAATAATAATATATTTGATAGTTTTACACAGCTTCAAAAACATCAATTGTATATATAGTAATCCAAATCAAAGAGAGCATACAATTTTTTTAATGAATCAGAAAATTAATTAAAAGTTGATGTCCATGATTCAAAGTTTTAAATGTTGTTCTAAAATTGTGTACAAGTAAAGCATTGTAAAGTAAAAGAAAAATGTAACTTTTTTTTATTCGTATGTTTCAAACAACAATAAAATAGGTTTTGGTTCATTTCAGCTAACTGTAGCCAGCTTGAGCCAAGGACTAATGGCGAAGTAGAGTTTGGCGAAAAAAAAGATTTCGAGTTCGATAATGATATTCTATCAACTGATGCTCGCCCTTCTAAAGCGCCATCTCAAAAAAAGGTAACTCTTCTTTTTAAAAAATGTCTTTTTTAGTTCTTTCCCTGCTTATTTTCGTTCAAACAGTTTATACAATTTTATACAACATAGTTTCTTTTGAGTTGCATTTAGCAAAAATTAGCATGTACTAAAAATGTCACTAACGATATTTTAGTCCGTATAAAAGTAGGTGCAAGGTCTGAAAGATTTATTTTTAGCATAAATAGTACACAAGAAAATATTGTAATCGTGCAAAAAAATGAAATCGATTTTTTTACAAATTTTGACGTTTTATATCTTGGAAAAACTTATTTTTGCAATGTTATTCTATGTCTGTGTCTCTGTGTGTGTATGTGTGTGAGTCTGTGTCGGTGAACACGATAACTTGAGTACCCTTACAGTTACGTTAATGAAATTTCATATATGTTTTATATCCAATGGGTAGATCTGAATCAAAATTTCAGTGAAAATTTTTCTACCTTCCTTTTTTTTCTTAAGAACTGACTCTGATAGACGATTTTTCAAATACAACTAAAAAAAATAAATCTGAGTCTTCTGTCCATTTTTGACTGATTTCCGATGACCGGAAGTAGTACTTTATTTACGATTTCTCAAAAAAAGAATATTAATTTATAACCCCGCTGTAGTCGAACCCCCTACGGCTAAACCTTCGATGTGGTAAACGTTCAAACCCTTATGGTCAAACCCCATGATCAAAGATATATATATACATATATATATATATATATATATATATATATATATATATATATATAAGTCTTTCTACAACATTAAAAGAGTAATTACAATGATATTTAACATTGCCAGGTTTCCAGTTTGTATTATGACCAATACAGAAAGGGCACGATTGCTACATATGAGGAGCCAATTTTAAGTTGTCAAGATACTGTTGCAAGGAATGGAAGTGGCTTCACCCGGTTGGCAGAAGTCAATCTGTATGTGCAGTACCTTCAGTTGTCTACTTGGCCCATTGGTTACAAAAAGTAAGTCCGTTATTTCATAAACTTTATTTCCTTGTTTATTACATTGATAGTTCAGAGTAATCGAAACGGTAACAAAAGAACTGTAACTTAATGCTAAATAATATTAACAAAAGCTGTAGTTTTTTGTATCCCAGATCTTTAGATTTTAAAAGCAAACCGGGAGTGATCTCCCCTAAACTTTCTCGAGTATTTATATATAACACTAAGGTGGATGGCAACTCGAGATATAGACATGATTTTTAATCAATTTTTTAATCACTTAAACTTTTAAAATTGAATAAAATCGCGTAGAAAAAAGAATAGCGCACCATGTGAACGCCAAATAAAATGTGTATAATAGAGCGGAATATTATTAGTACTTTATAAATTTACATGAGTTTTTTGAGAAATAAAAAAGCGTAAATTACTATTTCCGGTCAACGGAGTCAACAGGCTATAAATACAGCTTGACAAGTAATTGTGTTCGAGGGAATCCTGTCCAACATTACAATTATGAACGAAGAAGAAGAAATAAAAAAGCATGTAACCAACACATACAATCAGGGCATACGATCACAATTGCAATATATCAGGGCATACGATCACAATTGCAATATATCAGGGCATACGATCACAATTGCAATATATCAGGGCATACGATCACAATTGCAATATATCAGGGCATACGATCACAATTGCTATATATCAGGGCATACGATCACAATTGCAATATATCAGGGCATACGATCACAATTGCAATATATCAGGGCATACGATCACAATTGCAATATATCAGGGCATACGATCACAATTGCAATATATCAGGGCATACGATCACAATTGCAATATATCAGGGCATAGGATCAGAATTGCTATATATCAGGGCATATGATCACAATTGCAATATATCAGGGCATACGATCACAATTGCAATATATCAGGGCATACGATCACAATTGCAATATATCAGGGCATACGATCACAATTGCAATATATCAGGGCATACGATCACAATTGCAATATATCAGGGCATACGATCACCATTGCAATATATCAGGGCATACGATCACAATTGCAATATATCAGGGCATACGATCACAATTGCTATATATCAGGGCATACGATCACAATTGCAATATATCAGGGCATACGATCACAATTGCAATATATCAGAGCATACGATCACAATTGCAATATATCAGGGCATACGATCACAATTGCTATATATCAGGGCATACGATCACAATTGCAATATATCAGGGCATACGATCACAATTGCAATATATCAGGGCATACGATCACAATTGCAATATATCAGGGCATACGATCACAAAAGCAACCAGGGCATGTGAAACACGTCAATAATCACACTGAGCTTGTCTCCGCCCACTTTCAGGTGTTGCCCCGCCTCCCAGAACTACGGATGTCGCAGTGTCAAGACGCTGATGCCGTGTTTCTCCTCCAACATCTTTGGCGTGAGAGCCTGGTGCTGCCCCCTTCAGAGAATCGAAGTCAGCATCTGTAATTGTTGGTAAGTAGTTGTTATTGCAGCATCTTTTACTCTGGGTTAGTCATCAGTTCAGCAACTGCAAGTCTGGGTTAGTTGTTATTTCAGGATATCTAGGTACGTTATGATCTACCTTGTACAGACTTTAAGCCAGAGGCGTAGCGACCCCTCCCGGCGCCCGGGGACAAACTTTCGATTTGCAAGCCCCCTCGTACTTTTAATTTGCACCCCCCCCCCCCCCTCAAACTTTCGATTTGCACACCCCCCCCCCCTCGAACTTTTCATTTGCACCCCCCCCCCCTCAAACTTTCAATTTGGCGCCCCCCTTGAGGTCGGCGCCCGGGGACATGTACCCCCCCTCGCTACGCCTCTGCTTTAAGCCTTCTCTGTAAACATGCCATACTGTACAAAATTTGTCTTCCAGCCAAGTGTACACCTTTCTGCCACCTCTGTAGAAAGCTATATGTTTTTTCGAAACATCGACAGATGCATTTGATACAAAAAACAAGACATTTCCATTGAGAAACAACAATAAAGTTTACATAAATCTAGTGTTGTTTCTTACAGCAAATGCACCATACTCTGCAAAGAATGTTCCTACACCGGCCAGTGCGAGAGACGCTACACCTACACCAAATTTGCTGCCGTCTGCTACATAAAGTGGTGGAAATGGATTGTCCATTTCGCCAGGTACCTGCCCACCAGCTGTTACTGTAGTCTGGACTGTGAGCGTCGTCAGATCAGGGAAATTCCATGACAGAAAAGTCGTTATTTTCCGACTTGGGAGCATTTTATCTAGGCATCGAAGTAAAATAAATTTACAACGCCCCTTTGAAAAAAAATTCCTTAACCCATCTTCAAACTGTGTATCAACCTTAGATCTTTGGCATATAATTTTATAAAACGCAATAAAAATAACATTAACTACTATTAAAAACCTTCTTTGTTTTTTTTTATTGCGAGTCAAAATAAAATTTCGCACACGGTGGCCCCACATGGCCAACAATGCTGCCCCCACACGCCCAACATTGCTGGTCCCACACGGCCAACAATGCTGACCCCACACGGCCAACATTGCTGACCCCACACGCCCAACAATGCTGGTCCCACACGCCCAACATTGCTGGTCCCACACGCCCAACATTGCTGACCCCACACGGCCAACAATGCTGACCCCACACGGCCAACAATGCTGACCCCACACGGCCAACAATGCTGACCCCACACGGCCAACAATGCTGAACCCACACGCCCAACAATGCTGACCCCACACGGCCAACATTGCTGACCCCACACGGCCAACAATGCTGACCCCACACGGCCAACAATGCTGACCCCACACGGCCAACAATGCTGACCCCACACGGCCAACAATGCTGACCCCACACGGCCAACATTGCTGACCCCACACGCCCAACAATGCTGGTCCCACACGCCCAACATTGCTGGTCCCACACGCCCAACATTGCTGACCCCACACGGCCAACAATGCTGACCCCACACGGCCAACATTGCTGACCCCACACGGCCAACAATGCTGACCCCACACGGCCAACAATGCTGGTCCCCATACTGTTGCCAACTCTGGCCAAGCATCGTACCCAAATATCAGATTTGAAGAAGACGAAAGTAGATTAAGTACCACTTCCGGTAACCAAAGTTCGCCTCACGCTACGAATGCAGCATTGACTAAAACACGTGTGCTAATATAGGGACAGTACAAATAAAGGAATGAAAGTAGGCTACATGTAAGAAAGAAGTATTACTGTTGTAAAACTGTATCAGCCTTCACAAACCGATGAAGAAAACTGTAATTCTTAACCAAACATGCAAAGCAAACTGACGCTGTAAATTACATGTCTCGGGCAAAAAAAAAAGATGAAAAAGAAGAAAAAAACAGTTACTAAACCGAAATGAGTTGAGACATATTTCTTGTCTGGTGTATTTGTCACAGGGTGGTTGTACATTTCACGAAATTGACTCAGGAAATAGATCATTTAAATATATATATATATATATATATATATATATATATATATATATATATATATATATATATATAATATATATATATATATATATATATATATATATATATATATATATATATATATATATATATATATATATATATATATATATATATATATATACTAGCCGTCCCGGCCAGGCCCTGCTCTGGCTTCTGTGAAAAACCTTTCTGTTAAAGACCATCACCTGTGTGTTTAGTAATCATTATAAACCGGGCATAGCCCACCCAAACCACAACCAACCAAAACCAAAACAACAAAACGCAAACATAACGCTAACACAATTACAAATACAAACGAAAACAAAAACTTACAACAAACCAACCACAACCACAAACACCAATACGAACACAAAGAAAAAGCAAACGAAAACAAACCAAATCCAAACGCAAAATCAACCACAAACACAAACACAAACCCAAAGAAAAAAACACAAACGAAAAAGCAAACGAAAACAAACCAAATCCAAACGCAAAACCAACCACAAACCCAAAGAAAAAAACACAAAAGAAAAAACAAACGAAAACAAACCAAATCCAAACGCAAAACCAACCTCAAACACAAATACAAACACAAACCCAATGAAAATAAAACACAAACGAAAACGAAAAAAGAAAGAACAAAAACGAACCAAATCAAAACGCAACCACTAACGCAAACCCAACCTAAACACAAAGAAAACACTAACGCGAATATAAACGCAAAGTGCTCACGGGGCTGAATCGCCTACTTCAGCTAAATAAACGACTATAGTACCCCAACTTATTCATAGTCTTTTGCACTCACTTTAATGAACGTAGGCGCGAAACCGAACACGGGAGGCCCGGGACCCCAAAAAGCACCCTGTCTGGGCGCCAGAGGACGCACCATGACGTCACCGCCTGATTGAACTTAGTAAACGCCTATAGTGCATAACTTATTTATAGTCTTTTGAACTCACGCGAACGTAGATACCATAGCGTACACCGGAAGGCCCGGGGCGCCAAATAGCACCCTGTCGGGGTGCCGGAGGACGCCCGGATTTGATTCACTTATAGACTATAGTAACCTTTCTTATACATAGTCTATCGCACTGTTTAAAACAAAATTATGCAGCATAGCGCTCACATGATAGCCCAGGGTGCCAAATCAAACCGTGCAGGGGCGCCGGCGGACGCGCCTGTTTCAATTTAGTGAACAAAAATGATAATACTCCAAGCTTATCCGTAAATGGAAAGAAATAAACGTATATGATTTGTAGGACCTGGCTTATTAAATGTTATTGATTTTAAAAAAAAATAATAATTATTGAACAGTATGTTCAGTGTATAGAATAAATAAAAGGCAGTGTTAAAAATACCTAACGACATTGCACTTAATCAATCCCCGCTAATTGTGTAATTATTTTTTTTTTCTTAACACCAAAAACAAAGTAATAAAATGTTAATTCTCTCTTCTTAAGGATTTATTTTTCATTAAAGGGAAGTAACTTTGCAGTCAATACATTTCCGACACAATTTTAGAAATTTTATAAACGTCGATACACTTTTTAAAAATTTTATGTCGTGTTCATAATTGAAAATTATTCTTCCAAGTAAATAGAATGAAAATTGTTTTTAAAGACTTTCAGTGGTAATTTTTTGACTCGTAAATTTAGACTTTGAGCACGATAAAAAATCTAACACTTAAATCCGTAGAAGTGTCAACGACAAACTTTTTTTTTGCCACACGTTACAGAGCTGAGCTTTATATATTAAGATTGCGGGGGAGCCCTTTTTTCTTGTTTCGCCACTGTCTGTTCAGATTAACTAAATCAAGAGTTTTGTTTTAAAAGTTTGTTTCCCAAACACTAAACTCTAAAATTAAGAACGAAGAAGAAGTAGAAGACATACTTCCAATAGGCATGAAAAGTCTATGTTATCATACTAAATTTTCGAAAAAATCATTCAAAAATATATGGCAAGAGATAAAATTGTTGTTACATTTGTAAAAATTAAGGCCGTTTGGGAGCCATTAATTACACTCATTTGTATATTATTTTTGTATCGAATAAAAGCGGTCGAAATGCCGTTTAGAATTATTTTATCAATTCAAATATTTTCAAAAACTGCCCTCAACCTTTTCTTGAAGTCTACCAGAATGGCCAGGGAGAGGAAAACAATTAAAATTAGAAAAATTGTTTTCCACGATAAAATAGACAATAGTGATATACGGTGTATAGCGTAGTATTATATTTATATTAAATAATATAACATCCACAATCATCTTGACTCTACTAATTCAAAATAAAAATAAAAGTGTTTGCTAAATTACTATTATATCACTAATCATTATTTCTTTCACTATTTCTAGCCTTAATGAAACCGGAAGTAATATTGTTATTATTACACAAATGTTATAAAATATTCAAGTTTGGTTGGAAAAATGTGCTTTCCGGCAACAAAAAATTGGATCCATTTGGAACCAGCTTTTCAAGTCTATTGATATTAACCTAATTGCGACAATGTCCTTTGACTTTTTGCCTCAATGCCCATAAAGTCTGGCTTGAGTATAAGGGAAGCGAGATAAGGTCTTGGGTAAAAAGCAGAGGACAGTTGGGGGTAGAAAAACTTTTTATTCACTAAACTTGGGTGGTGGACATACACTTAAAAACAGCTGACCGTATGTGACCAGTCCATCTGAAAAAAAGAAAATTGTCAAATGTTTGTAGTCATGGCAACTGTTATTTTATTCAATACTATCTGATCTTTCGCGCTTTGCTTCGAAGAAAATTGTTTTATTCTATGTGTGTGTTCAACTAATATATTAGTTTAACACGGCTGTTCAACTGTAATATAGTGAGTGATAAGGGTGAGGCAGAAAAACATTCGGCGAACCTCAAAAAGTGTTAATTTTCGCCACGGGGTGTTCTTGTAGCCACAGGTTGTACTACACAAGTGGCGCCGGGTTCCAGTCATAGTTATGTATTATCATCGATTGTAGACGTCTTTCTAATCCCTAGTGAAATTTGTTCTTAAAAACAAATATTGGCCCCTTCTGCGGGCGCCATATCAGCGGACTCGATGTTCGAAGATAAACATGACAAAAGAAGAAGAATGTGGTCAATACTGTGGCTAGCCACATTAATATTTCCTTTTAGTTGATTGAACTTAGGGACTCTACAGACGCTAGTCTGTTAGTTGAAATTATGAATTTTGGCAGTCGTATGCTCTACCATTCGACAAAACTGTCCTAGTAGGAAAAAATGTGAGGGTCAGACATTTTCTAATAGAAATAGTTGGACACAAAAAAGACTTACCGTAAAACGGAAAAGATAGCCGGAAATATATAAATGGTATGTAGAGGGCCGCCGCCACGCCCAGCCCGCCCACCGCCACGTAGACGTACTCCAGCTTGGGGTTGATGGCCAGTGGCGAGATGAACAGGTACAGGTTGGTCAGTAGCATTAGGATAGGGATGACCAGTGGTACCTGGTGACATAAGGGGGGGATGACATAAGGATAGGGATGGCCAGTGGTACCTGGTGACATAAGGATAGGGATGACTAGTGGTACCTGGTGATATAAGGATAGGGATGACATAAGGATAGGGATGACCAGTGGTACCTGGTGATATAAGGATAGGGATGACTAGTGGTACCTAGTGATATAAGGATAGGGATGACATAAGGATAGGGATGACCAGTGGTACCTGGTGACATAAGGATAGGGATGACTAGTGGTACCTGGTGATATAAGGATAGGGATGACCAGTGGTACCTGGTGATATAAGGATAGGGATGACTAGTGGTACCTAGTGATATAAGGATAGGGATGACATAAGGATAGGGATGACTAGTGGTACCTGGTGACATAAGGATAGGGGTGACATAAGGATAGGGATGACATAAGGATAGGGATGACTAGTGGT